CACACACACACACACACACACACACACACACACACAACCTGCCATTCTGGCACATGTCCCCTTAGCTCGTCCCCTTAGCTCTCTGCAGCCCCCAAAGCCACACCCAGAGCAGATGCTGACATCCTAGGACAAGCAGGGAGAATGCAGGGCAGAAACTTCCTGGCCCTGCTCCCACTGTGTGACTCTGCAGGTCCCTGACCCTCTCTGGGCTTTGGTCTCCTCGTCGAAAATGAAAAACCAGCCCAACCTGATGGTGTCCGACTTCCTGTCTAGCTCTGACATCAAGGGAACCAGAGACGGACCTCCACGGAGGGCGCTGGCTTCATCTGCCACCACGGAGGGAAGGGGGAAGCCTGCCAGGGCACGGCCAAGAGGGCATCTGCACAACTGTCCAGAGGCTGCCGAGCTCCCAAGCCAAGACCGAGGCAGGTCACTGTGCGAGACGGAAGGCCGTGTGTCAAACCCCACTGACTTCAGGTAGCACTTCCTCCCCAGAGAAAACACTGGCTCCCCGAGGGAAAACGATACTCGGTCCCAAAACACACGTGGAGACTGTTTCCCCCACCCGTTTGCATGACCCTCCAGACACAATCACCTACAACAGCATAATCCTTGGGCACCTGGGTGGCTGGTTGGTTAAGCGTCCGACTTCGGCTCAGGTCATGATCTCGCGGTTCGTGAGTTCGAGCCCCGCATCGGGCTCTGTGCTGATGGCTCAGAGTCTGGCACCTGCTTTGGATTCTGTGTCTCCCTCCCTCTTTCTCTCTCTCTCTTTCTCTCTCTGCCCCTCCCCCACTCATTCTCTCTCTCTCTCTCTCTCTCTCTCTCTCTCTCTCTCTCAAAAATAAATAAACATGAAAAACAAGTTTTTAATAAATAAAAAAATAAAAATAAAACAGCACGATCCTCACACCCTGTCCCGGAGGTATGACCGTGTCCCTTTTTACTGATGAGGAACTGGATGCACAGAGAGGGTAAGCTCCCCACTCAAGGGCACACAGCAGCGAGTGGGAAAAGAAGGCGGCACAAACGCTTCAATCCCCGAGGCACAGACAAGAAGCCGGAGGCAGGTGTGCCTTGCAGCCAGCTAGCTCAGTCACCCCACCAGCATCTCTGTAGGCGGCTGTTTCAGGCAGGCCCTGGACCAGGCGCTGGGGGCGGGGGTGGACAGAACAGATGACGGATCCAACCCCCACGGTGCTCCTGAGATCACAGGGCAGAGGCCTTCGGTGAGGGAAGACCATCCGCGAGTGGGTACTAGGAAGGAGAGCAGGAGTTTCAGGAGGCCTCCAAAGGGGGCCGGCTGAGACCGAGAGGTCCGGCCTTCAACTCCAGAACCCCACATTCATGTGGCTGTGACCTTGATTCCAGACCCCTCCGGGGCAAGAGTGTGCCCGGCCCCAGCCCTCCTCCAGCACACCCCACCACTGGGGAACCCCATTACCAGCATCCCTTAAAATTAAGTCTCTGTAGCTGAGGCAGTAATTAAACGCTGAGATAAAACTGTAGGTGATAATTGACTCCAAGGGGGGGGTGTCTGACACCCCTTGGGCTGCAGAGCCTTTGAAGTTTTTATTTGAGCTTTATCTAGAAGAACGCAGAGAGCAGAGTCGGGGAGGCGGTCGAGTGCTCTGTCCAGGGCCAGGCCAGCGGTGGGCAACTGCGGACGGAGGACCTCTGGCCTGGGCTCTGCTGGCCGCTGGCCGAGCTGCTGCTCACAGATGGCCTCTGAGGTTGTCTGCAGCGAGGTCTGAGCGGCCTCGGGCCACCGGGGGTGGGCGCAGGGCACTGGGCCGGGCCCCGAGACGGGGAGGCCCGCCCCCTCCCTAGAACCAGACACGGCTCCCGGGTAGGAGTTTGTTTAAACTGCTGAGAAACTAACAGTTTGGCCAAAGGGTTTTCTCTGTTTAAATAAAGAGCCTGCCCCACAGTGCTGCCGAGGAAAGTGAAACCTCTCCCTTGCTGGCTGGGCAGCGGTCCCCGGAGCCTCCTTAGGGCGGGCTCCTGACCTCTCCCCTTCCTCCCTGCACACACACACGCAGGAAAGAAGGGCAACACCCCTGTCTTGGGGCCAAGTGCGGGGCATGGGGCGCAGGCCAGGCGGGGGCACGGCCTTCCTGACAGCGAGCGTTCTGAAAACAAAAAAGCAGACCCAAGGCCTGGCCCAGTGTCACGGGCACGTCAAGCTCCACACCATCCCTGCCTGCCAACATCCGTCTGGACCAAGCCGCCCTCCATCACAGGGCGCTGTCCCTGTGCCTGGCCCAGGGTCATAGAGCCGAGGCAAGACGCAGGAAGGGGCTGCGGGAACACAGCACCACGCGCTGGGCGGCTGCTGACAGCAGAAACGGATGCCTTCACGATTCTGGAGGACAGAAGTGAAAAACCCAGCTGCTGGCTGGGCCACGCTCTCTCCGAAGGCTCCAGGGGAAACTTCCTTGTCTCTTTCAGCTTCTGGCGGTGGATGCTCCTTGGCTTGTGGCTTGACCGCTCCAACCTCAGCCTCTGTCTTCATACAGCCTCCTCCCCTGTGTTTCTGTGTCTAAATTTCCCTTTTGTAAGGTCACCAGCCATTGGAATGGAGGCCTGCCCTACTCCGGTGTGACTTCACTTTAATGTGGTTACACCTGCAAAGACCCTATTTCCAAGTTAGGTCACACTCGCAGGGTCTGGGGATCCAACGGGTCTTTGGTGGGGGACATGATTCAACCCATAAGAGGTGGGGAGCAGAGGGTGAGAGGAACATTCAATGGAAGGACAGGCAGGTTCGGGTTGTGGGGAGGACTCCAGGAAGAAGGGGGCGTTTGGGGCAACAGCATAGAGACCAGAGTGTCCCGGGCCGTTTCTGCAGCTGGAACGCGCAGGAACGGGGCTGACCCACCGACACCCCCGGCGAGTCTGATCTGAGTTTGGAGGCCAGGTGCTTGCTAAGAGGTTGACCTGGCCCAGCATCCTGTGCAGGCCGCTGGGCCGGCTCCGGGCCCATGACAGTCTGCAAGGAAGCCTCGTGCAAACAGCACGCCGTGCGTGCAGCGGGAGTCCAGCCACAGGACAAACAAAAGCCTCCCTGGAACAAAAGCCTGGCAGGAAACACACGCAAATGTCCGCAGCGGTTATCTCTGGACCGTTCCCGGTCTTCCTTCTAGTCTCCAGCAGGGGCCTGCACACGTTTCTCCAAAGGACCAGACGTAACTGCTCGAGGCTCTATGGGCCACGACCGTCTCTGTCACAGTCACCCAGCTCTGCCGTTGTAAATAAAGGTGTGCGAGCGAAACTTCACACGTGGACACCGAACCTGGGACTTCCTGTCACTTTGCCGCATCACGAAACGTTCTTCTTGTGATTTTCTTTTCCACCATGTAAAAAACGTCCAAACCATCCTTTGTTCAAAGGCTGCACAGCACAGGCAGCGAGCCATCCGGCCCACCGGCCGAGCGAGGTTCGCTGACCCACGCATGAGAAGGATGCGTGCCTTTTACAGCGTTAGACGGCACGTCCTAACAACAACGGCGGAAACCGCGTAAGGAGGGAGAGCGGATACGCAGGACCTCTCGACCCTCCACTCGATTTTCCTGTAAACCTGAAACTGCCATACCAGATAAAGTCTATTTATCTTGTAAGTAAACTGAAAGGCAGGCACAGAAGTCCCTAAGAAAACCACCCAGACCCCAGCAACAAACAGGTGAAGGCAAATTAACAGACAACAAATACGACAAACGGGTTAACTTGGAGGGGCTAGAGGCGGAAACGGCTGCCTACTCAGCGTGGCCACAGGGGCCCCCCACCGCCTCCCAGAGGACTGCGCCCGGCACACGCTTCCTGGACGGCAGTGTGGCTCAGGGACCTTCTGACCCCACAACTTCCCCTCTGAGGACCCAGTCCAAAGCAGCCGCTGCAAACACAGGCAGATTCCTGCTCGCGGAGGGTCACCGAGGCCTCGCGATCACAGCAAACCCAAACCTGCGGACAATCTAAACGTCCCTCCGCGCGAGAACATCAAATACACGAAGGGCCACAGCGCAGTCAGGCGCTAAACGGCGGGCTCTGAAGAAGGGCCCACAAAGGCGTGGAAGGGGTCAGCCCCGACGCGGCCCGCACGCGATGCACACATCACGCAAACCCAGATCTGAACGTGCGTGGAGAGCAGGCGAGCAGGAAACAGTGAAAACGCTGGCAGCAATCTCTGGGCGGCGAAGAAACGGGTTTTTATTTTCTCCGTTATTCTGCGTAACGGCTTCCTTTCTACGGTGAACACGAATGTTACTTTTTAACCAGAAAAAACCCAAGACTTTAAAATGTGGTGGGTGTGGGGGAGCGTACTTAGAGGCCTCATGGTTGCCCTGGGGAGGGGCCTGGGCTCTGAGACAAGGTTTTCTCACTGGACAATCGGGGGGGGGGGGGG